GGCGCGGCTCCGCTCGGAACGGAACGAAAGGGAACGGCACGGAACGAAATGGATCGGAACGGGATGAAACGGGAGAGAACGGAACGGTGCAGCGGAGTCCGGGCCTCCCGGGAGCACTCGGGCGCTGCGATAAACGGCCCCGGTGCGCCCCCGCACCCGGTACAACGCACAGTGGGGTGTGCCCGCGGCGCACCCCAGTATACACGGTGTGCACACCAGTATACACACAGCACACCCCAGTGTACACACTGTGTATTCCAGTATATACACTGTGCACCCCCATATACACACCAAGGGTGCGTGCACTCCGGGGCACACATGGGACACACACAGCTGAGGTGCACCCCGCAACACTCGGCCTTGCTCACAAAGTGGTGTGCATGCCCTCACACCCCACAGCACACACTGGACATGTGCACACACACTTTGAGCAGCTGGTGTACACACATACACACAGGCAGAGTGTGTGCACACAGCAACACACGGTCCCTCTGGCACACGCTGCAACACACACACACACTCTGGGAAACACGCACATGCCGTGCACTCACACGGCCCCATGCGTCACACCATTGCAGGCACATGCTCCTGGGGTTCCCCATTCCAGAAAAATCCAATCAGGAGCAGCACCTGATCCAGCACAGGGAAAGCTGCGGGCCAGGGAAGCACCGGGAATTGCACTGGCTTTGCCCGTCTCTCTTGGGACGCGCTTGTCTGGGTGTCACAAGCCCTGTCCCCTTGCAGTGGTGAGGCAAAGTGTGATTTTTCGTGCTCAGGACACAGCCCTGACACAGCATGCGTGTGCGGGAGCACGGTGAGAGCAAAGCTGGCAGCTGTGCAAGAGGCCCTGCGTGGCGCCCTGGGCCAAGGGACACAGCGGTGGAGGAGATGCAGCCCTTGCAGCAGCAGAGGACAGCGGCAGTGAGCGCAGCCGCCAGCTTTTGTCACACTTTCCTTTGTCCCAGGCACGTGGTGCAGGGAGCCTCAGTCGTCCTGAGAGCAGGGATGGGGATGGGTGAGCTGGAGGGGAGGCAGAGCCCGGGCTGGGCTGCCGGGAGGGGTTTCCGGCTGCGATGACGAGGGGACACGTAGCGTGACTGTACCTCTTCCCAGGCGGGTGAACAGCCGGTTACAGCCTGCGGCAGCTCCTGCTTCTTATCACACCAGGCAGGCAGTGGTGGGGCTGATGCCGGTTGGAACCGCTGAGCTGTGGGACAATGTGGGCTCAGCAGTGTCCCACACAGCCCTGCCACCTGCAGACACCCAGTGAGGTCAGCCTTCTGCCACCTCCCAGGGCTAAACCTCTCCGTGCTTCCCAGCAAGGTCCCAGGTGCCCATACCCACGAGATCCCAGCATATCTCCCCCAGCATGAGGTTTCACAGGCACCAGCAAAACCCACAACCAAGAAAAGTCTCCACATTGCCCAGAGCTTTCTAGGGAGAAGCGGAACAGAGCTCGGGTACAGACAGCGTTTTGCAGTGTCCCCAGCAGGAGCAGACGGTTGGCCGAAGCGGCAAGGGCCCCGAGCTGGGCTGGGAGGGGAAGCATCTGTTTTGCAGTACCTCGGGGTTTCCTAAATAGGTCATTGCTTTTTTAGTCTCTGGGATCTAGAAAAACCAGTTGTTCCGGACAACCTGTGGACCTGCCAGCATCATCGCAGTGGTGGCTCCCCAGGCGCTTGCCGTCATCCCCCCAGGTCCTTGGTGGGGGGGACTTGCCCCACCAGTAGTGCTCAGTGTGAGCTGGGGGAGCGGTTGGGGAGCCCGCTGCACCCTGAGATGTACCCCAGGGTCCTGCTCTTTGCCGAGGGTGATGTGCCCTGGCCATGCCGTGCATGGGGTGCTTTCCTCCCACCCTGCTCCTGGCCTGGGGTGGCTGCTGGCTCCAGGCTTTGCCCTGGGACTGTTTGCAGACAGAGCCAGCGTTTTCCCTTCACAAGGGCAGTTGGGTGCCGGTGTGGGGTGTAAAAGGGTGTGTGATGCCGTACACCCCCTGCACACACCATACACCCACATGTGCCCGCTGCGGCGCAGCCTGCTTGGGGTGAGCTCTCCCTCTAGTGGCACCAGGCTCCTGGCAAAGCCTCCACACCGCCGGGGTGGCCAAAGCCACAGCCAAGACGTGCCCGAGGGTCTGGAGGGAGCTGGAGGACGAGCTCCAGCCTGGTCTCCCCTTTGCAGCCAGAGTGCACATGGGTGCACAGGGAGGGTGCCCGGGGGGGTGTTGCAGGAACGCACCCACCACTTGCCCGTGTTTTACCTGCCCGCAAAGGGCAGCTGGTCCTGCTGCTCCCTTTCCCTGACCCCAGATTTGCTGGGACATTGCAGCACGGTCAGCCAGTCTGCTGCAGGAACCGGTGTCAGGCTTTAGGCATGCAGCTCCGCAGCGCTGCTACCCAGTGATCCCCCCACTGTCCCCATCCCCATCCCTGCAGCACCCAGACCCCAGTGCAGCATGTGGCAGCAGCTGGTGAGGGGAGCGATCGCCCCCCAAGCCCTGGCTTCCCCCTGCCATGGCAGAGCCCTGCCCACAGGAGGGGTCCCCCAGGACCCGGCTGAGACCCTCAGGCTGGGTTGGGTGGGTGCTGTCCCTGCAGCGTGGCACCGCCAGGGTCCCCCTGGGCCGGCCGCCCGGCCCTGCCGCAGGCAGCGCC